CTTGTGCGAGAAAATCCACTTCGCACTGATGGCCTTACGCCCCTCGGGCAGACCGCTAATCTCGGAGAACGTCCCCGTCTTCTTGTGGCCGTCGAACTCCTTTGCTATGGCTACTTCCCACGGCACCTTGTACTTGGAGGTAAGGACATCCTTGTACGTCAAGGGCACGCACTCTACATCACTTGGCTTCTGGCCGAAGGGCGAGGGGATACTTAGCTGCGGGTCATGAAGAGGTTGCGATGACCCGTCGTCCCCTGCCTCTGCACCGAACGCCTCCTCCTGCAGCTCGGTGCCGTACGGCAGCTCATGCATCTCACGCCGGTACTCGATGTTGACCTGCTCCTCGTCGTACCGCTCCCGCACCAGCGAGTTGGAAACGTAGTCCACGATGATCTCCGCCAGCAGCGCTTGCTCGGCGTCTGGCTCGGCGTCTGGACCCGGCGGCTCCTCGGGGCCTTGCAGCTCCCGGGTCTCCCTTCGTGTGCGGCCGCGCTCGAACCCGTGGCGCAGCGGTCCTTCCTTCGAGGCGCCCCAGAGGATCCGACGCCCTTCGCGGCCCGGCGGGTAGCGGCTGTCGGCGGGATCAAACTTGTAAACATCAATCCACGGCACCACACAGCAGAAGAGCAGCAGGGCCTCCGACACGCTAATTCTTTCGGATTGGCCATAAATATGATGCTGGTCGTCAGAGCGGCTGCCGCCCTATGATTGTTGAGCTCGTCTACCTTTGGGTAGGTGGTGGTCAAAGATGGGAGTCGCAACCGTGGGAAGTGAGCCGGCAAACTGAAGAAATCACAAGTAACACCCAGGTTGCGACACTCTGCCCGGCGCCTGTTGTTGCTGAAAACTGAAAACAGCAGGCCGGGTGGATATATGATCTTTCTAAGTGTGTTGTCCTCTGTGTCGGGTGCTGCTCATTGCGCTTTTCCCGCTGCTCTATGGTGAGCTACACCGACTCAACCTGTTGTGTGCCGAGCACAGCGTGTATTCAGGGAAGGAAACGTACTTCTTGCCATGACATTACGAATAGAACAAGTAAAAAAACGCCGGGTTTTCTTGTCACCGTCGCGTGGAAAATTTCGCTACTTTTCCGAAGCGTTGAGAACCACCCTTAACGACAACGGAAAGTATGTCAGGTATCGATTCTCCCCGAGGGGTGCCCACGATAGTACTCACATCGACAAAGTGGACGGCGCTCTCAACACACAAACGCACCTACCTCTTATCTACCTTGCATACGTTCACCGTTCGTTCCACGCTCCCAAGGGTGTGGTTCCCCGGCTAAATTCTCACCTGTGCAAGAAACGACCAATAGTCCAACGTTCGCTTCTTGGGCACACTCACAACGGACTCGGGTATTGGTCCGCAACAACAAAGCTTCATGAAGTAAAATACATCCAAGCCAGTCGAAAACACAAATCAACATTGCTACCGTATAGCGTGCCCAAGGGTACACTACGACGGACATGCGATAAAACAAGAAGAGCACACAAGTGTAAACACACCTGCCACAGGTTGTTTAAATCCGGGAAACATCAACACATTAGATATTTGACGTTTTCTATCAGACCCGTGTAAATATTGTTGTTCACCTCGGCACCCAACGCACACCTTGGCCAGCACCAACCGCTGACATGCCTCCTACACCGACGACAGCAACACCAACACCTGTGGATGTAATGCTGTCAACATACATACATACACCCTCACGCCATGCAGTACACGCCCTCGTGGAACCACAGGGGACGTTTTCTCGACCTTTGCCTTCATCCCATTGAAAGCACCTTTCCACACTCCATCATCACTCAGTATTCGACAACCTGTGTCATTGTCCATTTTTACACCGCGTTTGCATCAATCTGTCGAACCCAGATACGAGGCACAAGAAAAACACGCTTGCTACAACTCTTAAAGGTAGATAAATCACACATGCATATTGGTTGGCCCTTCCCTCTGCCGCCGGCGATACCAGCGAGAGGGCCCTTCCTTGTAAATTCTGAACAAGCGGATGCATACTGCAGAAGTATTCTGCAATTCATCAGGACCACGCAAACCACTCGCGCCCACGCCTGAGTACTACTTACCCCCTATCTACCTCCCTTCCGCCGTGAACCCGAAATGTTGCGGTAAATCACCCAATAAAGGACACTCACGTGCTTTCAAACAGTTGTACACGTCTACCATCAAACGGGGTCCGTTCATGTAACAACGCGTATCGGCCCCACTACTGTGAGGACGACGAGGCGGCCGCCGCTTCTCTCGCCTCCCGGGCCAGCCTCGCCCCTTTGCTCTTCTGGCGGGGGGCTTTCTGGCCCCCCTAATCCGCCGTAGCCTCCGGCTGGATCGTCGACGAGGCACTCTCCTGCTCTTCCTCTTCCTCACCGCCGGTGGCACCCTCCTCCTCGTCGACGGTGGTGGCGGCGGCAGCCGCTTCAGCCGCCGCAGCCGCTTCGCGGGCCTTCCGGGCCAGCCTCGCCCTGGTGCTCTCCCAGCGGCGGGGGGCCCCCTCAACCGCCGCAGCCTCTGGGTGGACCGCCCACGAAGAGCCCCCCTCTGTACCGCCGTCGCCGCCACCAGCGCTCAACATGGCGTCCAGCTCGCGTCTGCGGACCTCCTCCTCCTCCTCCTCCGCCAGCCTAGCGCCCCGCTCGCGCCTTCGGGCCTCCTCCTCCTCCTCCAATTCAATATCAAGCCACCGGACGCTGAGGGGGGCGGCGGTGGCACGGCCCGGCCTCATCATCGAGCCGTCGATACCCTTGTTGAGGAGGATCGAGTCAGGGAGGGGAGTAGACGGCGGGAACTGCGAGGAATGGCATGGACGCAGGTACGGCGAGGGGGGGACTCGAAAGTTCTCGGCCGTCAGGGAGACGACGATCATGGGTGCCGGCGAGCTAAACGGCTGCCTTGCCGACATCTCCGCTAGCAACTGGCACAGGCAGTGTACGGCGGCCCGCCTGGCACCGGGCGAAGTGGCGTCGGTCGTGGCTCGCCCGTACCTGGTTGTGGTTTTGGTCCGTCACGCGCGAGGGAGGAAGCAGGATGAGTGTTGAGAAGTGTCGTGCGAAAGGAGATGGAGCTCTCGGAGAAACACTTCTTCTGTACCTAAGTCTGTAGCGTTGTGCTCGTACGAGTGCTTTAGCCGTGTCCGATGCCTTCGGCGATGATTTAGTGGACATTGGTTACCCTGCATGGGCCAAGGGCCGCAAAAGTATCAGTCGGTTTAAAAATAGCCATGTTTTGCCTCATTTCGGCGAGGGTGCAGGGACCAAAATCACACTCACACACAATCTCTCGAGAGACACCTACAGACCGGTGATGTTTCGGCTAGATTTGTGTGTTGATAACCGTTTCTGTGTTTTGTATCAGCATCCTGTCCGCTTTGTCTTTGCAACGAACCTCAGTTCGCAATCGGCACTAACGTTACACCTCAAGAACGTCTCGCCCATAACGCTACAGACATATGGGACAGAGGAAGTAGATGAAATCATACGTGGAGAATACATCCGAACAAGACATGGACTAGGGGTTGGTGATTGTTGTCTTTTGTTGTTGGGTCGTGCGCAGCGGAGCAACAGTTTGGGACGGCGGCGTACACGTGGTTACAAATACTGGAAGTTGTTGACGAAAATGCTGTACTATCAAACTCATCCGCAGTTGCTAGCGCCGAAGGGGGCACCGGCCTTTGACCAACCCTCGTACACATACCTTGCGGACGGCCGAAAGATCGAAAGGGCTAGAGTCGAACCCGCCCCGTGCTCGCCTCACCCGTACCGGACGGAAGATAACCTGGTTCTGGGTTTGGTCCGCCACACGCAAGGGAGGGAGGAAGTAGAATGTCGGTGGTGGTGAGTGTCGTGCGAGATGAAATGGGGAGTTCGTGGATAAATATTTTAATGCTTTGGCGAATACAACCTACAGCAGTACCCACTAGATGCCTCGCTGTATCTGCTGCAGAGCAAATGTTCGGCACGGAGCAAACGTCGTCGCGAAAAATAACCGAACTTGTCGAGGAAAATTCTGTACTATCAAACTCACCCGCTGTTGCTGGCGCTGAACGGGGCCCTGGCCTTTGCCCAGTCCTTGTACACGTGCCTGGCGGCACGATCATTGTCGGTGCTGCTTGAGAGTCTCCATCTGGGGGCCAATGTCAAAACGTGGTGCGCCATGGAAAGTGCCGTGTGGGCTCGTGCTTGTGGAAGTCGATTTCGTGGGTCCTGCAGGAAACGGGACTGGTTTACACTCTGCAGCAGAGGGCTATCAAACACCGCAAGCATAGCGCATTCGGCTTCTTCCAAAGTTTAAATCGAAACCCTTGCCGTCGTTTGATCCTCTGGGTGCGAGGGTCTTGTTACTGTTTTCCAAATATGCCTCAGCGATGAGTACGTCGTCTAGCCAGATCAACGTGAAACGCCAACCCTCGGAGCACTCACGCACCCGCTAGTGTACCCTACTCCCCCACCTACTCAAGTTTGATGGAGCAAACGTATACACTCACCTTTTCTTTGCCAATGCCCATGCTCCCTCGAGCACAATTGCCCCGGTGACGATGACGGTGGCACTTGCGCCCGCGAAACTGTCGGGGACGGAGGAATGACGGGCCAAGAATGAATGCAGCAGTTGCACCGGACGAGGAAAGCGTTGTTTACGACAATCAGGATTGGACAGGAATGTGCATAAATGTTGACGGTGCGCAAAGTGAAAGAGCGAATACATACTCCACCTCCATCTCCGCTGTCGGGTCGGTTTTATTTTGGAATACCGTCAGCTGTTGGCCCGAACGAAGTGTTTCCCACACATTGCAACAGCACATCAATAACTTGAGTTAGCATTGGGTATGGTAGTCAAAATTTTCCAGGCGGTGGTAATTTGAGACGGACATCATCTTGTTGGCCTCGACATAATCATTGGCCAGGGTATTCGGATTGCTGAAGTACTCTTGTCGTGACTAGATCATGCAGTGACAACTCGTGGCGAGTTGACCGAGCGGGAGAACGATCAAGGAGTATGATATGTAGACTATACGTTTTCAAACTTAGAGGACCAAAAAAGGCAGAGAGAGCTGGTTGGGCGCAGATGCAGTTGTGTCAGTAAACATGCGACACGTAAGTACACATGCATACGTACGAGATATGAGATGGGAAGGAGACAACAGAAACGAAGGTGGGAAATCTCAAGCCCACATCAATTTAAGGCGAGCGCATAGCAGGATCAGGACAAAAGGAAGCTACGATGAGAGAGACACACAACCAGAAATATACAAGGAAAGCAAACACTGGAAGGGGGAGTCGAGACCCCAGAGAGACAGAGAGAGACAGACGGACAGAGAGAGAGACACCTACGGAAGGCACGAAGACGTTGTGCAAGAAATACAAGAATCGAACATAGAGTAGACTATTCTAGACTTTATGTATTGTATGGATTGCGAGCGCTGTGTGTCGTAGTATGTATCCACTCTCTTGTCTAACCACGAAACAAACTTGCACGTGATCTATGCGGAGACCCATCATGCTGGTTCTAATGGTGGAGAGCTATAGCAGGACATGGGTTTATCTTATTCGACACACATGTCGGTGCACTCAAACGGGTGTCCCAGATGCTGACCAATATTCAAGTCGAAATGAGATTATATTGCGGAAGGATTGTCACCCTTGGAGCACGCCGATTACGTAGATTCTTGCCTAGGCTACAGCTACTGATGCCACTACCGACAGCATTTTTGCATCACTTGAGGGCGCGGTGGCCATGTTTTCACTTCGTACATCTCGCGCTCTGACCCTCACAGCTTGTATTCTGTGACGACAGAAGTAATTATTCAGTGGAAGTGCCAGCTATAGTCCTCAGTAGTCGACCCTGTCTGGATTCTCACGTTATCCTGTTGTGCTGCTTGGCGCCGAACGATGCTGCGACCACCTCTAACAAACTTATCGTTCGGCGCCAAGCAGGACAACAGGATAACGTGAGAATCCAGACAGGGTCGACTACTGAGGACTATAGCTGGCACACGTACTGAATAATTACTTCTGTCGTCACAGAATCCAAGCAAGCTGGTTAGACCAGACTAGACTATGCATGTACTACATACGTGGCTCCCGTGCCCACATACCTGTTGTAAACGGTCGTGTTGTTGTGCTCTTGCATGGTTTTGGACCAGTTCCTGTACTCTCGTTCCAAACAATCCATTTCTCTCTGGTGTATGTACGTATGTGGTCGTTGAGGGTCTGTGTCGGAAAAGTGGCAGCAGCTGTGGTATTCGAACAGTCCACCAGCGAACGTCAACGAAAACCACAATTTAACCTAGGTCTAATTGTTTTCTTGATTGTAATTTCGAGCCCCGCCCCTCGGGGTCGCTTTCACACATCTTTGATGCATCACTCCTGCTATTTTAGATTGATTGATTGATTGATTGATTGATTGATTTGCACGTGGATTAGACTCTTTGGTCCACAAAACACAGCAGCTGGCATATTTTTCCCTCGAACAGTCTAGACTTGTCTATCTAGTCTAGTCTAGTCTATTTAGCGAAATTTCTGAAGTAAAAGTAAGAACTTTCGTAGATGACAACGTAGTAACGTGCAAGGCGTGCTTGTTATCGTGGCGTCACTCATGGTATCGGGTTGTTGTGGTGTATAACCTGCTGTGAGCGTACAACATCCATCCATAGACGATTCATGGAGCTGCTTTTCGCCGATCCTTTGTGGCTCCGCTGTGCGTATGTGTCGCGGGTCGCCACAGCTTGAGAAAAGATCCACATATGTGTCGCGTGTCGTCCTTGCAAGAAGACCCGTATGTGCCGCTGATTTTTATCTTAGAAGATCCGTATGTGTCGCGTGTCGCCGTCTTGAGAAGATCCAAAAATTCTTGGTCGCGCCCGCAGGGCCTCAGGGTCGCTGGCAACAAAGCGAAACACAAAAAAAAAGAAATAAAAAAAAATCACACGACGCACAGACACGCCTTCTCTCATGATCTCATCTTTTATTGTACACAGTCCCTCAGCCGAAGTTGTTTACCGCAGTAGCTGGTGCTGTGGTGCGTGGTGGTGTGGTGAAATAGTTGTGTCGCCTCACACACACATGCTGTACCTGCACCTTGCCTGCTTGCCAGTCCACTCCGTCCCAATACAATACACCCTGCCCCAGGCATATTAGAAAGTCGATGTACCGGTCGGGAGGATGACGATGTCGATCCCGATCCATGTTGTCCCAAACTCTCTCTACAACGACGTCCATGCTACTCGCCCGCCAATCTCGGCCAGGAGGCCATCGAGCATCGCACCAAGCACAATTGCCACCTCTCCCTGCTGCAGCTTCCTCTGCAGCAACGGAGACTACTATCCGGCCTGCCTTGGTATGGGTCGCGTGGTTCTCCCGACGACGTTCGCACCAGCCGACCATGTTCTTCGCAAGAATGCTTGGTGCACCAGCAAAGGGCGGCGCGGTACGAGAGAGAGAAGCTGTCCAGCAGCGTCGGGGAGACGGCAAGGAAAGCGCGAAGATCGAACCAGTAGTAGGAGCGTGGCCATCATTGTTTGGTCTTGGTGTGGACATGTTGACGAAAACGGCTGTGTGCGGTGGGGGCGGCGGTTGGAACGGATCGATCGGCGGATGGACGAAGGTCATAGTACACGATGCGAGGCGATCGGGCGGTGCCAAGGAGGCCAGCCGCGGACAGCCTTTGTCTTCCACCTCGAGCCCACAGCTCTTCAAGGTGGTTGACGACTTGACGACGTTGATTGACTGTAAACACTTACTGCCCCGCACTGATGTGGTTGCTGCCACCTGCTGTCATGCTGAATCACGTTGGCGTGCTTGTGTTACTGCCGAAACATCACTGATGTGTTCTGTATATGCTCGTGCTGACGAAGTGTAAAACTCATAAACACATCCTTCATGTTAAATGATGGTCATCGTGTCGTCGAAGCTGGAGTGTCACTACTGGTGTGACTCTGTTGTTGCTGTTAACGGCTGCGGGCCGCTGCTGGTGTTTCTTTGCCACCCTGGAATCATCGATGCAACTGCCAAGCGCTGCGTGCACCTGGTGCTGGTGCTCCATGGAACATGTAACTCAGTCGGAGTCTATGTTTAGGAAGATACAGATAATAGTATATCCTGTGTGAGCGTTGGCATGTAGTTGGCCTGTAGTGTAACCGTTGGAAGTCCTCCCCACGACTTTGCCTACAAAGAACGTCGATGCAATTAATCCCAGCCAAAACAACAGCAACAGCACGACAGCTTTCAGTGTTCGTCAAGACATGAACGACAACATCAGCGACAACAAAAGGGTGGTGTCTACGTATAGCACAGAGCGGAAGTCAGAAACCATCCTGCGAGAGACGCCTGATGTTGCTTTCTGTAACCATGGTTCTTTGCCTGCTGTGATGCGCCCGCATGCAATAGCATTGCTGAGGACGGGGCTCCATGGCGGTTCCTCATGGAGCGAATTTCACCAACCGACCGTATATGTGTCATTCTCTAATGCTCGGATGTACGGGATGGCTTGGAGTGCAATCGCCGGAGGGTGGAGACAGCGGATAATGGACCGTGTAGGAAGTACTGGCAGTGAAACTCATCTGTTATCCGCTGTTGCCAGGGTACCAGACATCTGGTGAGGCTTGCGCGTGAGTCACAGAGTATCGGCCATGGGCTGGGCAAAGGCCAGTGACCCCTTCGGCAGTAGGGACTGCGAGTGAGTTTGATAGTCCAGAATTTTGTGCTAGATGCGTGGGTGCATCTGCGGCAGAGCACCAAGTTGGGACGGCGAAAACATCGCGATAAATACCCGAACTTGTCGGCGAAAATCTGAACTTGTCGAGTAAAATTGTGTATTACCCAACTCACCCGCAGTCGCTCGTAATGAATGGCGCACCGGTCATTGCGCGACCTGTGTAGCGCAAAGGGCCTTCGATGATTTTCGCCTTTTGGCACGATGGCACCTCCCATGTCTCCACCCGTGATTCAATGTTGAAACGTGGTTCGCCATGGAATTGCCATGTGGGTTTGGGCTTGTGGAAGTCGATTTCGTTGGTCCTGCAGGAAACGGGACTAGTTTACACTCTGCAGCAGAGGGCTACGACACACAGCAAGCAGTGTACGCATCAGGCTTATTCGAAGGTTCAATCGAAGCCCTTGCCGTCGTTTAATCCCCTAGATGCGAGAGCCTTGCTGTTTCCAGTGTGCCTCAGCGATGACTACGTTGTCTGGCCTGATCAAAGTGAAACGCCAACCTTCGGAGCACGCACTCACAACCGCTAGTGTATGCTACTCCCCCGCCCACTCAAGTTGGATGGAGCAAACACAAAAACTCACGGTCTCTTCGCCTACTTTAAGGCACCGTCGAGCACAGTTGCCCCGGTGATGAGGACGGCGGCACTTGCGCAAGTGCCGCCGTCCTCATCACCGGGGTAATTGCGTTCGACGGTGCATGGACGGGCAAAAAGATGGTAGGTTTTTGTGTGTGCTCCAACGTGAGTGAGCGGGAGAGTAGGGTACACTAGCGGGTGCGCGCATGCTCCGAGGGTTGGCGATTCGCATACTTTTGACCCAGACAACGTAGTCATCGCTGAGGCACATTGGACAAACAGCAAGACCCTCGCACCTAGATGATCAAACGACGGCAAGGGTTTAGATTGAACCGTTCGGAAAACCTGATGTGTGCACTGACATGTTTGGTAGCCCTGCAGAATGTACGCTGCTAGCCCACATGACACTTCCATGGCGCACCACTTTTTGACGATGACCTACAGGTGGAGATCTACCAGGCACCATCCCGCCGCAAAGAGTGTGACGTCGAGGGTCTTGGTCCTCTACTCGGGTTGGGCAAAGGCCGGTGACCCCTTTGGCGCAATGGACTGCGGGTAACTTTGATGGTACAGAACTTCGGGTGTTGTACGCTACGTGTACGCCGTCTTAAACTGCTGCACGACCCAACAACACAACCAAGAATCATCAACTTAGTCCATATCGGTTGTGTTCTCCAAGTATTTTATCCATGAGCTCCATCTCCTCTCGCACGCCACTGTCATTCTGCTTCCTCCCTCGCATGTGTGGCGGACCAAACCCAGAACCAGGGTATCACTTGTTCGGTACAGGCGAGGCGAACACGGGGCGGGCCAGAGTGCACCGACTTCTAGCTTTTGCGACGCCCCGCTCGCGCCTGTGGGCATCCTACTCCTCTTCCTCCTCCTCCTGCTCGATGTCGAGCCACCGCACGCTGACGGCAGTGGCACGGTGTGGCCTGACCATCGAGCCGTCGATACCCCTGTTGAGGAGGAGCGAGCCGGGGGACGCCTTCGATGTCGGTCCATTTCGCAGTGCGCGAAGAGGACGATGGGGACAGTCCCCTTTGCCCACTCCGCGCGCTGCGAAATGGACAGACATCGAAGACATGCCCCGCTCGATCATACTCAGGAGGGGTTCGGCGGCTTGCTGGTCAAGCCCCACCGTGCCACCACCGTCCGTCAGGGTGCGATGGCTAGACATGAGGCAGGAGGAGGAGGAGGAGGAGGCCCGAGGCGCGAGCGGGACGCCAGGTGGAGCAGTGATGGCGGCGGTAAGAAGGAGGATGCCTCGTCCACTGTACAGCCGGAGGCTACGGAGGTGGAGGGGGGCAGGAACGCCCCCCGCTGGGAGAGCTCCCGGATGAGGCTCGCCCATGAGGGCCGCTAAGCTGCGGCCGGCTCGTGGTCTCCATCTTTGTGGGGCTTTTAAGTGTTGTTACATGAACCCCGTTCGCAGTTGGATGTGTATCGGAAGGAGTGTAGTTAGTCGACGTGTTTGCCTCACTTTCCCTTTCTCGAAACTGCTGGGACCGCAGAAGTTGTTTGGAAGCGTGCGAGGGTTCTTGATTGGCTAATTTACCGCAACCTTTCGGGTTCACGGCGGGAGGGAGGTACCTAGGGTGGTAAATAGTACTCAGGCGTGGGCGCGAGTGGTGTGCGTGGTCCTGGTGAATAGCACTACAAAGTACACGTTCTACCACAGTAAAAGTGTTAACCAGGAAGGCCCCTCTCGATGATGCGGCCGGTAGCAGCGGGAAGGGCCAGTATGTTTGAAATTCTGTACCTGTAAGACGAGACCTGTAGCAAGTGTGTTTTACCTGTACCTGGTGTCTAGGTTCGTTACATTCCCAATGCATTCAAATGGAGAACGATCAATAACCAGACGGTACAAGGGCGGCGCTCGTTTGCCGGGTCTGAACAACTAAACAAAAGTATACGGCCGATGGAACATTGAACGGTCGCGTGTGTCTACCTTTCCAATCCTAGCTGCGCTCTCAGCTTGACGGTCTGCAGCCTATGGTCTTGATCTTGATCGCCAACGAGACCTGAAAACAACCATGGTCCCGTTGCCCCGTGCCGGTATATCGCAAACGATACAGACTATCGAAAAAGTACTACAGCGCGAGAAGCACATCAAGAGGCCAGGAGTGGTTGTCTTTCGCCGTTGTGTTTCGGTTGAATGGGGAGATTCATAACTGCAGTTTTCATGGACTTCTTTGCAAGGCCGTCGTTCAAACCCGGGTCTGCTGTAGGTAGTGTAAGAAATGTTCCTCTGGACTGGGGTGGCATCGTGGACGGGCATGCTTGGGGTCGATCGACCAAACTGCAAGATAAACCACAACCATCCTTGCCCTTGAAAAATACATTTGTTTCCGAAGGGGGTCGCGTGTGATCTCGCATGAATTGACAGTAATCTCTTCGTTGAAAGACGAAGGATGTTGTACATGTACTCGTCTCTATCGTCGGCAGAAACGCAAATTACTGCCTCCTCCATTGACGACATGAACATCATTCCCCAGCACATCGTGCGCCAATCCAGCGGCACTCTCTGTGAGCTCGGTTGGGACACGTCCTCAACGGCAGCACCAAGGAGTTCGAATTGTTGAACGACGGTCAGAAAAACTAAGAGCTGTCTGAACGATTGACACAATCGTTCGAAAACCACTAAGTTCTTCATTTCCATCTGAACACCATCTGAACACTCGGTCCTCGGTTGTAACAACCCCCGTAGTCCGTCATTGTTTGCGCGTCAGCCGTGAATCGCTGTAAAGCCGCTTGAACTAGGCAAGAAGTGGAACACCTCCACGTCTTCACCTAGAGGAAAACAGACGACATCGATCAGGAGCTCTCTCGCGAGTCCATACCTGAAACCACCCTTCAACCAGGTTCGTGCACCCTATCAAACACCCAGTTTTGCATAGGCGCACTCAAGCACAACAGCAGACTTGCCTTGCCCCCTTATTACGGTGCATGTGATGGCTCAGCCGCAGCTGATGCACCTAAACAGGCTGACACACCCGACCCGACAATTCCATCTCGGCACTGCTGTTACAAACATCCCAAACAATTCTCGAGGGGTCCAAACCAGTCACCACCATGGCCTTGACCTGCTGCAGTCTCGACCTCTCCGAAGCTACAGGTACAGCTCGATCCCGCTCGTGGACAAGAAGGGAGGGTCCAACAAGTTTAAAGTTCTTGTCGACTCGGATAAAGGCAAACAACTTCCACACATACTACGAGCCGTTCGACCCCCAAAACACGGTAAATGAAACGATCGAAATCAGGGCATTCGAAGCCAACGCCGAGGTGCGTACTTACGCTATTACAGGTGTTGAACGTGCTTGAAGCGACCACTGCTGACCTCGACTCTCGCCTCGCTTCACCTCGACTCTCCTGCCAAACCCACGTGGATACGTAGGTCGACCGCTACCTCTACATACAGCAGTTCAACGACAGAGCACACACGCGGTACCACTCATCCATCTTCTGAAAACGTACACATTTCGCGCCATCGATGAAGGATGTTGGGACTCTGTCCAGCCTCCGCGCGAGTCGTACGCGCCACGTCATCGTCCTGCCCGAGCCAGTGTTGCCACGAGCCAATCGTTCCACGCGAGCTGCAAGTCTCCTAGTGCTGTCGCGACCTTCCATACCAAAAGCATAGAACAGAGGGTGTCGCCGTAACCCGCGGAAAAACACGCTGACGTCGGGCATGTACAGGTTCGTTTCGAGTTGCATACAGACTAGCGCACACGGGTGCGGTGATATCTCGCTTTGAAGGTGGCACCTCTGGGACACCAATAGCCTGCAACACCCCCGTTTCCTTCGCAGCATCTCATCGCCTTACAACACCAAGTTTGGAGCACACGCCTCCGGTGTTGTGCGTTCGTTGACGTTCGAAATTCACCCACACGGCTCATGGGGTACAAACCCAATGACTTGGCATCGGATTCCAATCTTCGTTCTTCCACTCTATCTTGTCTCTGTATCCGACTACTACGGCTGTATCTTGGTTTTCGAGAACATTGCTAGGTTCAGCACGAATCGGAGCTTGAAGATGATCGACTTCTCCGCTGGGTAAGCCGTGGGTCCCAACTTTCGGCACCTCGGAACACGTGGCGATACAGACTTTGAACGTGGTTGGCTTTTGAGAAAGAGAACGCAGAATACCACGGGTAGGTTCTGTAGGGTAAGGGTACGTTCGGTAGGGTTATGGGTCTGCCACAGAACTCACAGAAAGTTCGGTAGGGTACTGGATCTGTCACAGAACTCACAGAACTATAGGGTATTGTGGTGCGCCGTCACAGAACTTCTGTAAGCGAGTTGTCACAGAAAGTTCGGTAGGGTACTGGGTCTGTCACAGAACTCACAGAAAAGTTCGGTAGGGTGCTGGTTCTGTCACAGAACTCAAAGAACTATAGGGTATTGTGGTGCGCCGTCACAGAACTTCTGTAAGCGAGTTGTCACAGAAAGTTCGGTAGGGTACTGGGTCTGTCACAGAACTCACAGAACTATAGGGTATTGCGGCGCGACCTTCACAGAACTCACAGAACTCGTTTGTGGGGTAGTCGAAGACGGTACCTACCCGCGGTTGTTGTTGTTGTTGTTGTTGTTGTAGTTGTTGTTGTTGTTGTTGTCTTCACTTTACAAAACCATCCCGGTCTCTCTACCCAGTACCTCTTTCTGTCTCATAAAAAAGTGAGCGCTGAACCAGCGGTACCCGGGTGAATTTTAATTTGTACTTGCACACTTTTGTGTCTTGACCAAGATTCAAGATAAATTGAAACGTGCGCGCGTACGCACGGACCCTCGACCCCAATCCTGAACTTTCCAGGTGAAACGCGGAAGACGGTCGGCTTAGAAATCCAACTCCTGCCAAAAAAAAAAGCGCAAGAAAAATGCAACGTTTCCCAGCTTTTTCTTGCTTGTCCGTCAACAATCCTACCCTCCCCACTTCCCAGAGGAAACCAAACTAAACGACGAAAGTAAGATCAACACTTGATCTTGAACATCACTCAGTAGCAGGGAATTTGAATTGAAAGGAATTATAATTATGCAATGATCATAATAATAATAATAATTATAATTATCGGTGCGCCCCCACGACTACCACGCGCCAACAGGCGTACAAAACCGTTCCCATTCGACGTGTCTCAGGACAACAGTGAGAAACAAAAAGGATTATGTCCCATACAGCCCACCCCCCGACATTCAGTCTACAGGCCAATGTCGGTCGAGGTGTTGTTCGCCACGTCGAAGGCGGCCTTAGCGGCCTTGAGGTCAGCGTCCGCGTCGCCGTTGAACCGTGCCGGCAGACACCTGCGGATGTCCTTATCGGCGACCTTGGGAATGTCCTTCAACGCGGGGATGTGCTTGTAGTTGACCTTGAGGAACATCAACATCTCCACCCAGTAGGTGTCGATGCGGCTTCTGTTGCCCACGAGCAGATTCCCGCATGCACTGAAGTCGCGCTCAACCTGCGCCGCAGGGGCCTGGTTTCCAAACACCTGCTGCGCCACCGGTGCGAGGTAGGCGAACATCTTCCGGCCGGTCTGTTGCCACCAAGGCAGTACGTCCCGAGTGTCCAACTGCGAAATAACGCACACAGACGCGGACATTGTTTCCAGGACAAAGGGCAACGAAAAATAAAATAAAGATATGACAGAGCAACAGCGAACCACACATAATAATAACTATATTAATTTTCCAAATTAGTACACTGCGCACAATGTACACTGGTATACGAATAGCAAAAAAGAAAAAAAGGGCTGCCGCCGACAGGGCGACACATCAAAGCCAACAAAAAGAAAAGGCTAGTCTTATGCAACATCAACTCACACTCGCCCCTTCCATTTTCATTTTTCTCTTCTTCAGCAAACCCATTCTCAATGCAACATACCTCGTCTGCTCTGACGTACAGTGCGTTGTAGCGCTCGATCTCTGCGTCCACTTGCTGCTTCAGCTGCTGCTCCTCACTGCCGCCGGCGCCCTCGCCGTCTTCAGTGCTGCCGGGTTGCGCGCCCCGCCCGTACGATGCAAACCTAGGCTCCTTCGGGCGGGAGACACCGTCCAACACGCGGGAGCGCTTGGCAGGCGGTTGACCTCCCGTCCCGCTTGATGCGGCGCGTGATTTTTCCTTTCGCGCGGCCTTCACAGCCCAACCTCTCATCTCCTTCCAGCGATCGTCATATTTTTGTTCCGCATCTGATTCGACCGTAGGAGCCAAATGCTTCTTACCGGCGGGGAGGTGCTCCTCGTCGTTGATCGTGAGTCCGAGGTCCATCAGGTAGTCCTTGTTGTATGACGGGGTGAGGATCACGGCGGCGTCGCGGAAGGGAGAGGGGTCGGGGGTGGCGTCATCCCAAACCTTGGAGTACATCCTCTGCACAAGGTCTTTGCTCATTTCTTGGCGGCACTTGACGGCGGCGGGACGCAAGCTATCCGGGTCCACCATCGAGGACGGCAGCGGTGGCTTGCCCCTCTGCCCCTCGTGCGCCTGCGCGGCCTTCTCCGCTTCCGGGGAATTCGGCGCCGCGGAGACGTCGTAGACCCGCAGCGGCGTCTCGGGGTCGAGCACGGTCGTCTTGAGGTGTGCGAACGCCATGTGAATCTCTGCCGTCATTGGCACGACGCCGTACTGCCCATCCCGCGTTATGGTGGCGAGAGGCTGAAGCAGCGAGTAGAGCTGGAGGATGTCGTCCTTGTTGTTGTCCTTGTCGAGTGGGAACTCGTCGCCGGCGTCGGCGTAGACCCTCCTGAGCACGTGCCACAGACGGATGATGCGTTCCATGACGCGAACGAGACTCAGCCACCGCTGGGGCGCGAGCTTTGAGATCTTGAAGACCTGTTGCAACATCTCCAGCTGGGCCTCCTCGAACTTCTGCTTGAAGATGGGGGACTGGTTGACCTTGGCCGCGGCCTTGATCACAAGCTGTACCACCTTGCGCGCCTCCTTGGGGGTCCGCCGCAGTGCCGAAGGCGTGCTCGTCAGCTTTGTCGGCCAGGTGGCAGCTGCACCAATCCCACCAGATCTTGTGCTGCTCCAGAGGAAGTTCACGCACATGGCCCTGACATCGGGGCCAGCGTCCGTCGTGCCACCAGCGAGGTCCTCCAGTCTGATGTCAAACTCTGCCAGCACCGCCTTGAAGATGTGGAAGAGGGCTTCGCTGGCCTTTTTCGCCTCCTGCGCGGCAGCCGAAGGGGCGTCGTGCTTGACCTGTCCCGCACATACAGGGGGGGGAAGAGGGGGAGG